GAGCCATTTTATACCGCTAGTGCTAAAGTACCTTGGAGCCGTATTATGTTTAAATGGTGCCCTACGTAAGGGTGGCGCCATAATACTATAAAATTTCATTCTGGTTGGATTTGTGCCTTATCAGTTGCCGTATAAGTACTCGTATGAGGCATATAAAGAGATGGACGAAACGACGACGAAAATACCTATCACCAACGCAGTTGCAACGTAGGAGGCAGATAGCGCGATGTCATTATAGCAAGTCAAAAAAAGCACCACGGGAACGACGCCGCAGTGAGAGCTTACAGTTAGAAATTGGAACATATCCTCACTCAGAGCGAAAGAGCTAGTTGATGATGTCACAGGGAACCAACTCGACATAATTGACTCTCATAACCGAAACTCCAAGTCTCTGGAATCTTGAACCTCAGCGGGTGGAAGCTATTCTACTCTGGTGTCGAAATCACTGCGCTCGCTCAGGCCGGTGTTGGTGTTCTAATATAACCCAACCTTGCTGATACAATCAATGAATGGAAGCCTGTCAGCGGAGGAGTGACAGTTCTTTGACTGAAGCTAAAAGGAGTTATACCTCCGAGTTTGTTACAAGTTTGTCGTCCAATTTTCAGGGAGGAAATGAATTCTTCCTGAAGGAAGTGGAGTATGCTTTGTGCCAAATGCCGACTACGGAGTCCCTCATTCTAAAGGATGATTTTAACGTGTATGTTTGAGCAGGCACTGAAAATTTGGAAGGTATTATTGTAAAGAACGGCACTAGCGACCTCAACAATAACGATGTGAAGTTGTTGTGGTTTTGTGCAAACAACGGACTATCCATTATGAATCCCTTCTTTGAGCATTGAAGCGTACATCAGTATGCCTGGTATAGGGAAGTTTCTGCACAGAACTCGATGGTCGATTTGATAATCGTGTCGTCTCACTTACGATGATTTGTAATGGATGTTCGCGTAAAGAGAGGCGCAAAGCTATCAACCGATCACCACCTTGTTATTCGCACCCTCCTCTGTAAATGATGTAATATCATACGACGATCAGGTGGCCGAAGCAGCGACAGAATCAAACGGGAAACATTATCCTCGGCGGATACGAAAGTAAAACTTGCAAATACGTTGGAAGCTTTGTCTGACACATCTGCTTTCAGGACCCGAAAGGAAGGGCGGCGATGAAAGATGAGGATGAATAACAAAATCTTGAGTTTAGGTTTAATTGACCATTGAACTAACTTCGGAAAAATTTTGTGCCAGATATTCTGGTTTTCTTGGTTTTTTATCCTTTGTCCATTTAGGTAGCTCTTGGAAAACAGGCCGAGTTGACTGAAGCCGATTGTCAGGCTGCCGAACACCTGGGAAAATGCAACAGCGTGAAGGGCGTTGGAAAACTGACTCCTGATCCTTCAGAAAATTATAAGCTGTAAGTAAAAGTCTTATTTGGTTTGCTGCAATGTGAGTGCGCTTTCCATTTTTTGCATGAATGAGCGACAGCCGTTGATTCATTGATTTACTGAGCGCACGAACAGTAGTAGGCGAGTTCACGATTGTTAAATTTCTAAATATCATGAGAAAAGGAATATGAAAGTTTATAACCGTTAGAACGGTGATCTTCTTTGCTCCTTCACGATGAGGCGATTCTTCCGCTCTTCGTTTCATGAAGTTGATGGTTTAATGTTGATCTTCATTTTCCTGTCATCGGCTAGGAGTGCCTTATTTAAAAGTGTCCGCAGCAGATATGTTGCAAGTATTTTGTGCAGTTTCCTGATTCCTTCCAACAACGTGGTACTCATTTATCAACTTCGGGAGAAAAAAGGCGATTGGCTCGATAAGGGCTCGAACCCGAGACCTCTCGATTCTGAATTCAGCGTTTTATCTTAGACAGTTATGTTTTGCTCTTAGACACTTTAAAGTACGATGTTACGGTTGAATTGACCAACATTGACCTCTCTACATGTAAAGTCGACTTTTCAGATACTGTTATGGCAAAAAGATCGATCTTGTGTTGACAAGGTGTGAAAGCCCCTATTTTTCTATCCGTTCAGGTGAGATTTGTTGCCTAAATTTTCTGTCCTTGATAAGCCTTTGCAACCATTTATCTGTCTAAGCGAAACATAAGAAATTAGGCCAATATACTTTTCTATAATAGGGTCCCCTTCATCCATTAAATTATTATTTTGCTTTGTAGGATTTTGCGTGCTTCGCATGCAGTTCTATTTACAGCGTACTTGTGTTATTTAGATCTTTGTTTTTTAGACCTGATGGTTGCGTGATTCCACTTGGACATCCCGTGCCAAATCGTCTTACCCAGGAAACTTGCCTCCAATATAACGAGTATATAGTATATGATTTATCTCAGATTCGATTGCGCTATCTTGCCAAGCTGAAGTTCACTTACGAATGTTAGAGCATAGTAACTGATTTGTTTGTATTATTTTGTAATAATACTGTAATTAAAGTAGTTAAATTGAACGGTGCATCGGCTTGTGCAACGTATTTACAATCATGGAAATCAATATCCATTTGCTCTGATTGCTGCTTTTAAGGATGTTCACGAGATGGCAATGAAAATTCAATCCAAATATTGCACTTTGTTAACTTGCGCTTGCCACGATATTCCTGCCAGTTCGATCCCTCGCTGTCACTGTCCTCCAGGTGTATGTGAGGTTTTTTCATTCTTAATAGCACTGGCTACCTTTGCCTTACTTCAAAATACCAAATCGAAGGCTCTTGAAAGGTTCGCGGCGAGTGCGTCCCGACTGGCATGCTCATGAACGTATCTAAGCACATGGCCTAGTGTCTTCCTTCTCGTTTCCCCGCCAGCTGCGCTTTGCAGATAAGCGAACAAGTTCAAGTACCTCGAGGTCGTGTTTACCGGTGATGGAAATTGGCTGGAAGAAATCGATCAGCGAATTGGAATG